TATTCAATATAGTACTGGAAGTTCTAGACGGAGCAATCAGGCAAGAAAAAGAAATAAAGGGTATTCGATTAGAAAAGGAGGAAGTCAAATTATCTCTATTTGCAGACGACATGATTGTATATCTAGAAGACCCCATCGTCTCAGCCCAAAATCTCCTGAAACTGGTAAGCAACTTCAGCAAAGTCTCAGGATACAAAATCAATGCGCAAAAATCACAAGCATTCCTATACATCAATAAGAGACTTAAAGAGAGCCAAATCAAGAACAAACTGCCATTCACAATTGCTACAAAGAGAATAAAATACCTAGGAATACAACTAACAAGGAACGTAAAGGACCTCTTCAAGGAGAACTACAAGCCACTGCTCAACGAAATAAGAGAGGACACAAACAAATGGAGAAATATTCCATATTCGTGGTTAGGAAGAATCAATATTGTGAAAATGGCCATACTGCCCAAAGTAATTTACAGATTCAATGCTATCCCCATCAAGCTACCAATGACCTTCTTCACAGAACTGGAAAAAACCACCTTAAACTTGATATGGAACCAAGAGAGAGCCCACATAGCCAAGTCAATTCTAAGCAAAAAGAACAAAGCAGGAGGCATCACACTACTGGACTTCAAACTATACTACAAGGCTACAGTAATCAAAACAGCATGGTACTGGTATCAAAACAGAGATATAGATCAATGGAACAGAACAGAGGCCTCGGAGGCAACGCAACATATCTACAACCATCTGATTTTTGACAAACCTGACAAAAACAAGCCATAAGGAAAGGATTCCCTGTTTAATAAATGGTGTTAGAAAAACTGGCTACCCATGTGCAGAAAGCAGAAACTGGACCCCTTCCTGACACCTTACACTAAAATTAACTCCAGATGGATTAAAGACTTAAACATAAGACCTAACACCATAAAAACCCTAGAAGAAAATGTAGGCAAAACCATTCAGGACATAGGCGTAGAGAAGGATTTCATGACCAAAACATCAAAAGCATTGGGAACAAAAGCCAAAATAGACAAATGGGACCTAATCAAACTCCACAGCTTCTGCATGGCCAAAGTAACAGTCATTAGAGTGAATTGGCAACCAACAGAATGGGAAAAAAATTTTGCAGTTTACCCATCTGACAAAGGGCTGACATCTAGAATTTACAAAGAACTAAAACAGATTTACAAGAAAAAAACAAACAGGCCCATTCAAAAGTGGGCCAAGGATATGAACAGACACTTTACAAAAGAAGACATACATGAGGCCAAAAAACATATGAAAAAATGCTCATCATCACTGGTCATTAGAGAAATGCAAATCAAAACTACATTTAGATATCATCTCACGCCAGTTCGAATGGCCATCATTAAAAAATCTGGAGACAACTGATGCTGGAGAGGATGTGGAGAAATAGGAACACTTTTACACTGTTGGTGGGAGTGTAAATTAGTTCAACCATTGTGGAAGACAGTGTGGTGATTCCTCAAGGACCTAGAAATAGAAATTCCATTTGATCCAGCAATACCATTACTGGGTATATATCCAAAGGATTATAAATTGTTCTACTATAAGGACACAGGCACATGAATGTTCACTGCAGCACAGTTTACAATAGCAAAGACCTGGAACCAACCCAAATGCCCATCGATGATAGACTGGACAGGGAAAATGTGGCACATATATACCATGGAATATTATGCAGCCATCAAAAACGATGAGTTCGTGTCCTTTATAGGGACATGGATGATCCTGGAAACCATCATTCTCAGCAAACTGACAGAAGAGCAGAAGATCAAACACCGCATGTTCTCACTCACAGGCGGGTGTTGAACAATGAGAACACACGGACACAGGGAGGGGACCACTACACACTGGGTTCTGTTGGGGTGAAACAGGGGAAGGACAGTAGGGGGTGGGGAGTTGGGGAGAGACAGCATGGGAGAAATGCCAGATATAGGTGAAGGGGAGGAAGGCAGCAAATTACACTGCCACGTGTGTACCTATGCAACAATCTTGCATGTTCTTCACATGTACCCCAAAACCTAAAATGCAATTAAAAAAAAAAACAGGAAGCCTAGAGTGCACTGAAGAATACTGACAATTAAAATGAGGCAGTGGCCCCCTCTGCTGGTTCATTTTAGAAGCAAGTTTCCTTTCAATTAATGACTGCTTTTTCAATAAAGACTTCCTATTTTTGCATTTTATGCATGGGGAATGTGTAGCTAATGGATAGTTATTAATTTTTTCTCAGTATATAAATTATATTAAATATGAAAATTAAAAAATAATAAATGAAAATGAAATGAGTAACTATACGACAAAAATGAGCAATTATGGGAGGAATTTCTACAGTGAGGTTTAGGTAAGCAGTAATTTTCATGAAACGGTTCATGTGAAAGCCCACCTCAGTGAGTATCCTCAATACTTTGTTCAATGTTTGCTTTTCTTCCCCTTCAAGGTATATGGATTCCTTAAACTCTATTCCTAGGATGACCTATCTCCCACTACCTTGTAGTGAGGTTTTCTTAAGTCCCTTCCATTCTTAGATCTATAATAGAAGATGGGATCCAAAGAAATATTTAAGTCCAAACGGTCTGACCTCATTTTCAGAGTAACCTTTTCCCTAACAGCCTACCCTCAAGTCCCAAAGCTTCTTAGCTAGCACTCACACTTATAATTTAAGCAATGTTTTGAAATCTATTCACCTATTTCCATCCAAATTGGATAAAATTTCAGGCCACTCCATTTACCCTTAACATCAACTTTTGAGACAAGCAGAGGAAAACAGAGTTGTACCAGACCTACAAGTTCCCAAGCCCAGCTTTTAGGCACCAATTCTTCATTATTATTATTTTTAAATTATTATTATTTTTTGAGATGGAGCCTCACTCTGTTGCATAGGCTGGAGTGCAGCGGCGCAATCTCAGCTCACTGCAACCTCTGCCTTCCAGGCTCAAGTGATTCTCCTGCCTTAGCCTTCCAAGTAGCTGGGATTACAGGCGCCCACCACCACGCCCAGCTTATTTTGTATTTTTAGTAAAGACGGGGTTTCACCATGATGGCCAGGCTGGTCTCGAACTCCTGACCTCCAGTGATCCACCTGCCTCAGCCTCCCAAAGACATGAGTCACCACTTGTGGCTTCAGGCACTGATTCTAAAGGACAGTCCTATAAGTTAGGTTTTACTGTCATGTTGATTTCACCAGGGCAGGAAGGCTCTGAAGGAAAGAGAGGATCCACCAGGGCAGAGTACGGTTATCACCTGCCTCTCACTGTGCGGGCTCTCAGGCACTTCATGATGTCAAACGCAACCCAGTCAGCACTCAAAACACCATCCATTCCTCGCAGCCTGCTCCATGTTCCGCTGCTTATCATTTCACAGCAAATGGCAACACCATCCATCCATCCTGCTTTCCAAGCCTGAGACCTTCCCACTCTTCTTGTCCAACTAATTCTATCCCTGACATTTCTGAAATCCATCTAACTGCTTTTCACCCCTGCTACCAAAACCCTATTCCAAGTCACTGGTGGTATCTTTCATCTGGTCTATACTGCAGCCTCCTCACTGTTCTGCCCTTGTGACAGGACAACATCAGGAACTTCCATCTTTGCTAACATATTCTATCACAGACAACACGGTTTTATAGCAACTAAAACATTCACAAATAGAAAATAATTTCAGGGCCAAGCATGGTGGTTCACACCTCTAATTCCAGCACTTTGGAAGCCCAAGCGGGCAGATCACCTGAAGTAAGGGGTTCAAGACCAGCCTGGCCAACATGGCAAAGGCTTGTCTCTACTAAAAATACAAAAATTAGTTGGGCATGGCGGCATGTGCCTGTAGTATCAGCTACTCTGGAGGCTGAGGCAGGAGAATCGCTTGAACCCAAGAGGTAGAGGTTGCAGTAAGCCAAGATCATGCCACTGCATTCCAGTCTGAGTAAGAGTGAGACTGTCTTGAAAAAATGAAGAAAAAAACCCCACAATTTTAGTTTCATCACTGTTGCAAAAAACATGGGCAGCCTATACTGTTTGTTATTCCTGAAACAATATTCCCCATCCTTCCTGCCATTCTTTCCAAGCCCAAATTCAGATGTCCGCTTTTCCAAGAAGCTAGAGTGGAGTGGCAAGATCACAACTCACTGCCGCCTTTAACTCCTGGTAAAGGGATCCCCCATCCCTCAGTCTCTCAAGTAGCTGTGACTATCAGCGTGCATCACCATGCCTGGCTGTTTTTAAAATTTTTTGTAGCGATATGGTCTCGCTATGTCACCCTAGCTGGTCTCAAACTCCTGGCCTCAAGTGATCCACCCACCTCAGATTCCCAAAGTGCTGGGATTACAGGAGTGAGCCACTGTGCCCAGCCTGCCCTGCATGGTCCATAATGCTAGACAAAAATAGCCATGGGTAACAGAGAAGGGTGGAGCGAAAACAGCCCTGTTCTGAAATCTCAGCCTCCCAGAGCTGAAAGCTACACGACGCTGGGAAATGTTCTGAATCTCTGAGTCTTGGTCTACTCGTTATTAGTGAAACTGGGATGTCACCTCATAAGGCAAAGTAATTCTGAGAATTGTATGATGCACAGAGTGATTACGAACACATACTGGTTCTTTTCTTGGAGCACCTGATTGGATTAATGGTCTGCTTTCAACACAAATCAGCATTTAAGCTTTTTAACATACTTTTAGTATCATCCATTATTAGCATAATTTTCCAATTAAATTACTAAAGATCCTCCAGGGAAACTCATATTAAATATAAAACAATGCTTTAAAGTTTAAAGCACCATACAGTATAAGTTGTTATTACATGAAGCATAGCTCCTGCACTGAGATGCCCAGTAAATACTGGCTACTTATTTTGAACCAGTTAAAACATTAGTTATTGATAAAAAGAAATATTTCCCTTCTTGAAAAACAATGCTTCATGGAAACTCACACAGGATAATGGCTATCACCTGCACTCCTCCAACACACAGCTGAGACTTTAGGACTGTGCTCACCTAATAAACTGGGATCTGCTCGGACCATCTTCTGCTTTTTCTTCTTCTTGCCACTCTGCACAGCCTCAAAATTGGATTGTTGGTTGTTGCTTTGATTGGTTTGAAATACTGAATGGAGTGTACTGTGGTTCATCCCCCACACAGAGTCCTGTGAAATAAGCAACATGACTGAGATTACGCAGCAGATTCAGACTTGGTTCACCCTAGGAAAATGCTTGGCTTGTCCTCACCTTATCAAGTATGAGCTTCAAAACAGAAAAAACAAAAAGCTTATCACATGTTCTAAAAATAAAACCAATAGGCCACCGAGCCACCATTTTCCTCTATTTAGACCAAGACATCCCACTCAGGCTCTGTGCCTCCACAAAGCCTTTCCTGTAACTCTGGTTTCCACCCTGCTGTGACAGCAGAAATTCTCTACTATATGTGTAGTCTGTACCAAACACCAGGACATGAATATAGCAAATAATCATGAGCAGACTACTGTACCCTAGCAATATACACCTCTCACCTAACCAAGAGCAGAAAGTCCTTTGTTTCCTATGCCCCAGGACAGACAGGATAGGGGTGGCATATTACCAAACAAGGTTAAAGTTGTGTATCTTATTCCTATCAGCAATCCCAGAAGGGATCTGGCCCCAAAATATTGTCTATATAATTTCTACCAACTGGTTACAATACGAAATTGCCTATTAGCCCTTCATGCCTACTTGTGGCTCTTATTAGAGCCACACTTCTAACTTGGGATCTGTTTCAATGAGCCAGTTAAGGCACAGGTGGTAGTAGTGAGGGCGGCGTGGAAAAAGCTCTGTGGAAGGACAAGGCTGGTGTGATGTATGTGTGCGTGTGGCCCATGGATTCACATGCTCGCTGGGCTTCCACCTTACTGTTTTAGCCCACAGAGGAGCCATTTCACAAATACAAAGAGCCTTCTGTATTGCTATATGATGCCTTCTCTTTAAAATATTTTTCCTAGTGTTCCAGTGTTTACATCTTTCACTTTCCTTCAATTTATGCCTGTTAGCCCATTACCCAGTTGAATGTTAAATGCCTTGTACTTCTCTGTTATCATCTACATCCTTGGAATTGACCCATAATGAATACTGATTATCTCTACAATAATAATTAGAGTAAAGGATACGAATATCTTTAAGCCCTTCCGTGAGCCTTACCAACTTGTCTTTCAGAAAACTTATACAATTGAGCCTCACAGATTCTGTATTTGTGAATTCACCTACTTGTTAAAACATATTTATAACCCCAAAATGAATACCTGTAGTGCTTTTATGGTCATTCTGGAAATGCACATACTCAGAGCAAAAAACATGAGATGCTAAAGGCATATATTCCCAGTCAAGGTAGAACAAGGAAACAATACCTTCTTGTTATAGTTCTCAATACTGTCAGCAAGTATCCTTTTTGTGGTCTATTTAGTGCCATATTTTCCTAATTTTTTTGCTTTTTGTTAATAATTTCACTTTTTTTCCTTTTTTAGAATCTTGCTCTGTCACCCAGGCTGGAGTGTAGTGGCGCGATCTCGGCTCACTGCAACCTTTGCCTCCCGGGTTCAAGCAATTCTCCTGCCTTGGCCTCCCAAGCAGCTGGGACTACAGGTACGTGCCACCATGCCTGGCCATGCTGGTCTTGAACTCCTGACTTCATGATCCACCTGCCTCGGCCTCCCAAAGTGCTGGGATTAGAGGTGTGAGCCATGGGATTTCACTGTTTAAAGTGGCCCTCAACTATAGTGCTGAATAACTGGTTGGTGTTCCTAAGCACAGGAAAGCTGGGAGGTGCCTTAGAAAGAAAATATGTACGCTAGATAAGCTTCATTTGGGCATGAATAATAGAGCTGTTGGTTATGAGTTCAATGTTAGTGAATCAATACATATTAAATGAGGTGTCTTTAAAAAGACACCCACATAAAACAAGGTTATATAATAATCGGGTGACAAAAGTGTTTTGACTAGAGGTTTATGGGAACCTAACCCAGTATAACTCCTAGGAGGTCAGTATTTGCTCAAATTTCATTTATATTTTCTGTTCAGTATTTGCTCTCATAATTCACAGTAGACATATTCTGTAAAGTCCCCATGAACTTCTGTAAACTTGTAAAGTTCGTGGGGACTTTATAGAATATAACTACTGTGAATAATGAGAATCCCTGCTGTATCTTTTACAACCCCAACAGCAACATGAACTATCTGGCATGCTGCAGTGTTGTCAGTACTAAGTACAGTGCATCCTGAACACTGGAGAATTCAACGTCTTAAGTTTTAACTTTTCTTTTTTTTTTTTTTTTTTTTTGAGATGGAGTTTTGCTCTTGTTGCCCAGGCTGGAGTGCAATGGCGCGATCTTGGCTCGCCGTAACCTCCGCCTCCCGGGTCGAAGTGATTCTCTTGCCTCAGCCTCCCGAGTAGCTGGGATTACAGGCATGAGCCACCATGCCTGGCTAATTTTGTATTTTCAGTAGAGACAGGGCTTCTCCATGTTGGTCAGGCTGGCCTCAAGCTCCCAACCTCAGGTGATCTGTGCACCTCAGCCTCCCAAAGTGCTGAAATTACAGGTATGGGCCATCGCACCTAGCCAAGTTTTAACTTTTCAAAACCAGATCTATGGGTTTGACATGTTGGAATTTGCAATCTAAAAATGACACATATACAAATCAAGAAAAATGGAACTGGTAAAGCCAGTGTTAAAATGAATAATTGTACTTGTTATCTGAGAGATACACTAAGGTACCTGGACATGTAATGTGAAAACATGAAGTCTACGCATTTTTTAAAGCATGGTTATTGGATATACAAAAATGGTACCTTTGCATTAATTTTCATTTCTCTGGTTACTCAACATTTAAAGGTATTAATCCTCAGAGGTACTTCATACACGATGCTACTTTATACCTGCTGCGGCTGCTGCGGCTGTGGCGGTGGCTGCTGCTGCTGCTGCTGTTGCTGCTGCTGCTGCTGCTGACGCTGCTGGTTGGCTTTCTGTTTGGCACGACGCTCAAGGAACTGCTTGGCAAACTCCTTGGCCTCAGAAGTATCTCCCAAATAGGCCCTGATATAATCATGGACCTCATAAGGAGATTCTACTTCTTTCAGGAAAGAAACAAATGTGGGAACTGCAAAATGGGAGGGGAGAAGACAAGAGTAACAAAGAAATAATGAAAGATAACATACAAAAATCAGTCTCCATTTTTAATACATCTTTGCACCTAATCAGACATTAATGACAGAAACTTGATAAGTATGCAGTAATTGTGTTTAAATATGCTTTAAACTACCTTACAGAAATGAAAAAAAAAAAAAAAAAAACCCACTATCATCACAATGCCCATTATCATATGCTTAATTTCACTGAATGCTATATTGCCTAAAACAGTTACTTGCCTAAGGCTGAAGTAATTTGGGGATTCATTCTTTCTCTCCTGAAGAATCGCCAAATTCAATCAATATTTATTAACTCCTATGAAGTGTGCCAGGCACTACAACATATACTAAAGAAAATAGCTATATCCTCCTGGAACTTTCAACCCACTGAGATTTTTTAGAGAGAAATCAAATGGAAAATGTAAGCAGTGTGTGATACAGGAGAAAAGCATGAGCATCAGAGTTAGACAAACATGGATTTAAAACCTGACTCTGAAATTTGCTGGCTGTGTGACCTTGATGAGTTATTTAACCATTCTGAGCCTCTGTTTCCTAATTTATAAAATGGGGATAATATTACCTACCTTATAAAGGTATCTTTAAAAATTACCACAAACATCAAATAACTGGGATACTACATGTTAACCCCAAAAGAGTGCCTAGCACATGGTAGGTGCTTAATGCATGGCAGCCATTACTGTTATTTAAAATTGTTTTCTCTGTAGATTTTTAAACCATTAGAGAGTGTTACAATGCTGCAAAGGAACCCCTTAATTCCTTTACTGCTGTTTTTCACAGATTCTTGGCTTTAGACAGGATGTCAGAGGTGGACTAGTTCAATTTAGCCTATCAGTTATGGGAATCCTGACATGTTGACCAGTCTCTCTTCAAACATTCAGGGATGGGAGATAGGTCTGTGAACAGCTAACCATGAGCAAGTTTTTCTCTAAACTGTGCCAAAGCCTTTTCACTTCCGCATATTGGTCCTAGTTTTGTCCCACACAAAATAAGTGTACTTGCTTTATCACAATTCCCACTCCCTCCCCCAAAGGTAGAAAGGGAATGATGTCACATCACCTCAGCCATCACTTGTCCAGGTTGACCTTTGTTCTCAACATGACAGTTACTTTTTTTTTTTTTTTTAACTTGACATAGCTGGCAATGTCTCCCATAAAATGAACAGTATGGAACTATGACCTCCTCTGTCCTGTGTATCATTAAGGCAGTCTAAGATGGCATTTACTTTTTAACAACCATCAGTAACCTATTTGAGCTTAGTATTACTGGACTTTTCTCACAAGTAATACTATTAAAGAGTCAAGTTCTTACGGTAGGCGCAGGGGTTGACCTCCTTAGATTTCATCTTCTGACTTTGGGCCCATCGTTCCAATTTGCCAGCCTCTCTGTGGGTCCTGCTCTGTCATTCCACATGCTGGGTTTCCCTCCCCAATTCTTACCATCCAAGTTATTTGCCGTATTAAGGGCATGAAGCATCTGTTCACACCACTGGGTAAATCCATCTTGGGCTTTATTTACTCCCTGAAAGAGCTTCAGCAACTTTTCTTCTTCTTCTACTTTCTTATTCTGCCGGTTAGACACACCTACAGATTTACTAAAGCAAAACAATAGGGCGATATTATATTCCCAGAAACTGTTACTATATGATTATAGTACAACACCATAAATAGATAATGTCTTGGCAATACTGGCTGGATGTCCAGTAATCCAATGCTTGGCTTCAAAAATGAAAAAAAATTCAAATATTTGGATTGGATATACCCTTAAAATCTAGCCTCAACTAATATATCCTTATTTGTGGATACAGGGCTTCTATTTAGAAAAAATGATGAAATTCTTCCTATGTATCCTTAGGGTAGGTTGTTTAATTTTACTAAGCCTCAGTCTCCTTACCTTGTAAAATGGTACTAACACTTTTTTGGGTTATCATAAGTAATAAAGATAGTGTATGAAAAGGCCTGGAGCACAGTGCCTGGCAAAGATGCTCATAAACTAACAAATTAATTGTCCTATTCATAATATATTAGGCCCTAAATCAAGAAGAAACAATCTGACAACACTACCATTTATTAAGTAGTTACTATGTGCCAGGCACTTACTACTTATCATGTATTCATTTAATCTTTACAATTACATGCATGAAGTTGTTATTATTATCTTCATTTTACCGACGAGGGAACTGAGGCCCAAAGAGGTTCCCTCTTGCCCAAGGTCACACAGCTAATAAGTGGTAGTGCTGGGATTTGAGTTCATGTACTTAACACTAAAACCCATGCTCATTCAATAACACTGTATACTGAGGAAAGAAAGATGAAGATGAAAATGTAACTTATAAAAATAGGTTTAAGGTCATCACAGAAGTGTTTTTATAATACTCACATTAATAGTATACATCACTTAAAAATACAAATTTAGGAAAAATGCTAAGGCATCTAGAGAGTACGTTGGAGAAATGTTCAACAACACAACAAAAACATTATACTATTTCTAATAATTATTAAGTGGTTACCATGTACTATGCAACAGAATAAGTGCTCAGCAGAAGGAGCCCCAAGAAATAATACAAGTTTGTGTCTATGGGGAAGAAAACAATCACCATAATTATGACTGGAAGCGCTTGAACACAGATTAAAACAGTAAGTAAAAACTAAATAACTACCTTTCACTGTCTACCCAACATCCCACTTCCTCCATCCCCACCTCCCAACCAACCAAGGTGCACAGGTGTGGTCATTTTGAGCCCTACCTGAGACTGGCGTTGTTTTTATTTTTATTTGTTGAATTCCTAGGTCCCACCTCTTTCACTGCATCATCCCAGAATCCCATGTTGGAGTTTTTAGTGTCAGCATTACTCCAAATACTACTGACTAGGTCAGATGCCCACTGGTTAGGAGGACCAGTATTTATAGAGCCCCAAACAGAATTCCCAATGCTGGTGTGCAGATTGGAATGCTGTTAAAGAAAAGAGAAAAATTATTATTGTTAATAATGTTAAAAAGATAAGAAGACAGAAAAGATAAAACTAGTCCATACAATGACAGCTTAGGAAAATGCACACACCGTATTGTTACGAGCTCTGTTTGGTTGCTGGTGCTGCTGCTGCTGCTGCTGCTTTTGCATTTGCCTGGCTTCTTCCTGCTGAATCTCCAGAAGAGATTTCGTGGTACCTGAAGGTTTGCTGACATTCCCCCAACCTGAGAGTTTCTGCTGTTGTTGCTGCTGCTGCTGCTGGAGAGCTTTCATCAACTCCCTCTGCTGGCGCCTTTGCTGTTGCATAAAAACAGAAGCTAGCTGAGGATTCCTGTTTTTAGAACATAGTTATAAATATCCAGTCTACTAAATGGAATGCAAATACATAGTAGCTACGTAAAATTAACTTGATGGGATTACTTCTGCTGTTGCAAATAAAAATATAAAGTGCTAACAGTATTAAAAAGGAGAATGAGAACAGCAAATGCAAAATTACTTCTTTTTTTGTTGTTGTTGAGATGGAGTCTCACTTTTTCGTTCAGGCTGGAGTAAAGTGGCACAATCTCAGTTCATTGCAACCTCACCTCCCAGGTTCAAGCCATGTCTGGCTAATTTTTTTGTACTTTTAGTAGAGATGGGGTTTCACTATATTGGCCAGGCTGGTTTCGAACTCCTGGCCTCAAGCGATCCACCTGTCTTGCCTTCCCAAAGTGCTGGGATTACAGGTGAGAGTCACTGTGCCCGGCCTCAGAATTACTTCTTAAAAATTAAGAAGGCCTTTGGTTAAGCACAGAAATGAAACACATGTTTACTTCCTAAAGCCTCCACCAAAATGACAGATTGTATATATACATGGCATAAACCCATAAGGACAAAGAAAACAGAACAGATTTTTTTTAAATCTGAAAGCGGATAATGAGAACCCTAAAGGAGCTCAGAAACAGGCAGATTCATACAGAAAGCTCAGGAACTGGAGGTGCTGAGTTTCTCAAACAGAGGAAGACTGACTGAAAGTCTGTAAAAAGAAGCAGTAAGACTCCAGGCTGCCTCCTGTACTCTATGCAGTCAGACAATTCTCTCCTGCACCACAGCAGAAAACTGAACATTCCCTGTCTGGAGAAGCCAAACCAGACTGGCACATTATCCTATGGCAAAGCCAACCAGCACAAGAGAACACACCTATAGGTAGGTGCCAACAAACTAGGGGTTTGGGGGTGGAAGTCTCCAAAAGAACAACTCAGCCAGAAACTATTATGGGAAAGCCCACCAAGGTGCTGTACATACCAGAACCTCCAATCGGCTTTTGAGTGCCTTATTTATAAACAAACAGCCTAGAATTACCAAACATTTGACACAAACTTCTAAGATAAAAGCCAAAGACCAAAACAAACAAAAATACAAAATTCAGCAGAAATAGATATAAGACAATGGGAAAATAGGAGTTGGCTTTTTAAGAAGCTATCAGTAAGTATTAATATCCTTAGAGAGGTAAGGTGGTACATTCAATGAAAGAAGATTGAAAGGCCATAAAAAATACTTAAAGAACAAAATAAGGACTCACAGACCTTATGTTAAAAGCTCAGCAGGGCTGGGTACAGTGGCTCATGCCTGTAATACTCAACATTTTGGGAAGCCTAGGCAGGAGAATCACATGAGCTCAGGAGTTCAAGGTTACAGTGAGCTGCCATCACACCACTGTGCTCTAGCCTGGGTGACAGAGCAAGACCCTTTCTCTAAGGAGAGAAGCTGGGATAAGCCCAATAGAAGGACCAGAGGTAAAATTGAGAAGATGCCCCACAGAAATGATAAAAAAAGGGCCGGGCGCAGTGGCTCACGCCTATAATCCCAGCACTTTAAGAGGCCAAGACGGGTGGATCATGAGGTCAAGAGATCGAGACCATCCTAGTCAACATGGTGAAACCCCATCTCTACTAAAAATACAAAAATTAGCTGGGCATGGTGATGCATGCCTGTAGTCCCAGGTACTCAGGAGGCTGAGGCAGGAGAACTGCTTGAACCCAGGAGGCAGAGGTTGCAGTGAGCCGAGATCGCGCCATTGCACTCCAGCCTGGGTAACAAGAGCGAAAACTCCGTCCCCCCCCACAAAAAAGAAAGAAATGATAAAAAGGGAAGGGCACAGTGGCCCATGCCTGTAATCCCAACACTTTGGGAGGCCACGGTGGGAGGATCACATGAGCTCAGGAGTTTGAGGCGGCCAGCCTGGGTAACGTAGTAAGACCTGTCCCTACAAAAAAATTTTTAAACATAAGCCAGACATGGTGGCACACACTAGGACCACTAACCAATAATCACACTAGACATTCTGGAACACTGCTTGACTAGATCCCTTTTACTTGAAAATTTTACCTCTTCTCGAAGCTGCCGTTCTCGTTCTTCTTCTAGTTTTTGGATTTCTGCCAACGACAGGGTGGCCTGGGACTGACATGCTGTTGTATTGGACTGCTGGCCCCACGTTGAAGAAGAGGGAAGCTTAAAAAAAAAAAAAAAGTTCATGAGGAAATGTGTACAGAAAACAAAGAAGCAATAATGCATTATGTACAGCCAGAATATCTGCATTTCGTTCAACTCCATTTACCACATTCAATTCAAATTTCCTTCCTCGTTGCTTTTACTTACCATCCTCTCAGTTAGCTTCTTTTGCTTAAGTTGTCACTGCTCCAAACCTAGGTTTATTTTAAAACAACTTATAATATACATATACACTTATATTTGATCTACCACTTGGTGACAAGTTTGTTACATCTGGTACTGACATACACAGCAATATACAATATATATAAAGAGGAGTAAACAAAAGAATCACTAACTTGGCTTAAGAATTTTTTAACTGACAAAAGTAACAAAGGACATGATCAGCCTTTACGGAAAGGGGTCACTGTTAACCAGGCTGCAGCTTCTAGTCATGAGCAGTAAGCTGCTTTTAATCAATAATTTTATTCTTCCTTTTCCTTAAGATTATTGACTAAAAGAACGAGTATAAATTTCTGGGTCCTGAATATTTCAGTATTCTCAAAGCCTGGTTATTCTCAGAGAATCCCTTGTTCCTTGTGGCCAGAAAAATAATACACTTTTAATACTGAGAAATCAAACAAGCAAACACAGTAAAAAAGAAACCTAACCAGACTTACAAAATATATTTAATAAAAATAATACAGGAACATAGATCAAAACAAGTAAAACGCCAAATAGTCTCCCAAAAGAATGGACCTACAGTAGACATCTGTAAGAGTGGATACTTACAGGATAAAAGGTGTAAATAGTTTAAACCATCACTGATATTGTCAAATAGCTCTTCAAGTGAATGTCTTTAACACTACTAAACATAATCAACCCACAACATTTTTTGGCCAATATGACAGATAACAACATTTCTCTCAAAAGATGCACCTGCCCCAAGGGAGTAGAGGATGCAGAGGGAAGCTAACAAAGACTGGGTAGGGAGGTGTTGACAGGCAAAACTGAGCAAAATTAACTTTTTCTACATAGGAAATGACTCATTTGAAGGCACCATTAAGATCAAGTAAGGCAGTAGATCTCAAACCGGCAGCATGCCTGAAGGGACCAATAGCCCTGGCTCTACTGCACCAGAAGATGAGAAGATCAGAAAGGAAGGCAGGAGAATCAGCATATTTTAATCATTCTGATGCAGCCAGTAACCACTGATGCTGTCTAAAATCACAGTAGACATGTCACTTCACTGTAACCAGGAAATAATCTCCAGCCCACTTCAGCAGACCTCAACCAGCATTGGGAATAGAGGCAATGCCTTCAGAAATGGCCAACTATCCTCATAGGCACCTCCAGAATCTTTCTACTGCTGTGCCAAAATATATTTATTCTTTCTCTCCTCCCCAGACCAACTCTCTATTTCTCTATCTATACACACACATACATATGCATATATAGTCTATATTCCATAGGTCTGCTCTCTAGGGTAACTGCAGACCAAAGACTTTTCCTGAAGTCTTCTTTGTACATAGGAAATAATATCCCAGAGATCTTTCAACATTGCCACATGACACTTACCAGCCCAACCAACACCCTATACGGTAATGCCCACTCAGAGAACTGCAGTGTGTCAGTCATCCTTCTCAGAACAAACCTTTGCCAAATCAAAAGCAAATAGAAAATTTAGCACATTCTGTGACTCCTGAATGCCTAATATCCCCTAATATCCTTCATTGATTTTTAAAACTATACTCTTCTTGTTCTGCCCTGACATTGCTACCTTACATTTCAACACTGGTTTTGCTTTAAGAAATAACTGTGTTTCACTGTCGGGTGACAGCATGAGGAGCTGCGTGGACCTGCTCCCTGGCAAAACTGGTAAAGATCTTTTTTTTTTTTTTTTTGAGACAGAGTCTCGCTCTGTCATCCAGGCTGGAGTGCAATGGTGCGATCTCAGGTTACTGCAACCTCCTGTAATTTTAGTAGAGACGGGGGAGAGGGGCTTCACCATGATGGTCAGGCTGATCTCGAACGCCTGACCTCATGATCTAACTGCCTTGGCTTCCCAAAGTGATGGGATTATAGGCGTGAGCCACTGTGCCCAGTCAAAGATCATTTTTTAAATAATAATTTAAAATCTCTGGCTGGGAGCAGTGGCTCACACCTATTATCCCAGCACTTGGGAGGCCCAGGTGGTCAGGAGTTTGAGATCAGCCTGGCAAACATGGCAAAACCCCATCCCTACTAAAAGTACAAAAAAAGTAGCTGGGTGTGGTGGCACACACCTGTAATCCAGCTACTTGTGAGGCTGAGGCAGGAGAACCCCTTGAACTCAGGAGGTGAAGGTTGCAGTGGGCCGATATTGTGTCACTGCACTCCAAACTGGGTGACAGAGCCAGACCCTCAAAAAAAACAAAGTCTTAAATATATAAATGAAATCTCAAAAATAAATAAATAAATAAAGTTTCTGGAAATACTCCTAAGGGTATATAGCAAATTTTTTAAAAAAGTTTATTCAAGAATATTTTCTAAAATTCAGTAAGAACAGCAAGAGCTGGTAATACTTAAACCAAGACCTATTCTCTCCTTCTCTCCTTCCAGCTTAATGAGACAGAAACTCCACTCTGGACTGGTACAGTCAAAACACGGCTCCCTTCTCCTCTCAGCCACCAGTCAGCAGGATTTCTTCCTGGAAAAAGCACATCAGTGTGTCTCACCCTGATGACAGTTACCTGTGACAAAGGCTCAGTTCCAAACAAGTGCAATAGATCTGGAGGCTCTCTTCTTGTGCCCAGCCCCACTGGTAGGATGGAAACTGTTGACCACAGCAATACCAACACTAGGGCACAGATTGCCGATGCAGCTGGCCGGGCCAAGCCACCAAGAGAGGCAAGCCAAGAAGACCTGAGGCTACTATTCTGTCCACCCTTCAACAAATGTTAGAGGAAAGCAGACCATTGTGCCCACGTCCAGAGCTGACTGAGAGATTTTTGTCTGAGGGTAGGAGTGTAGGAAACAGGCAGAAAACAGAGAGCTTTAGGTTTCTTCCCAAAGGAACTGATTTCATTTGCAACAGATACTAATAGTGCTTTCAGAAACAGAACATGGGATAAAAGGCAATTGGGAGGAAGACTGGTAGATTCATAGGAGATACAGGCTAAACTGTAGGAGGCTGCTACCTTATCTGAGAGAACTGGTTAAAGAAAACTGGAAGGAATCCCCCCGGGGTCAGAACAAATCTTACATATAGACTTCAAGAATTATTTCTTCAAAAAAGCCTGAATTTAACTGGATCAGTCTGTCAATGTAAGTCCTGGGGCACATTTTTTTTGGGGGTGTGTGGGAGGGTAGGAGATGGAGTCTCACTCTGCCACCCATCTCCACCTCCCAGACTCAAACCATCTTCCCACCTTAGCCTCCTGGGTAGCTAGGACCACAGGCATGCATCACCACGCCTGGATAATATTTTGTATTTTTTTTTCTTTTGTAGAGATACAGTTTCACCATGTTGCCTAGGCTGGTCCTGAATTCCTGAACTCAAGCAAACCACCCATCTCCGCCTCCCAAAGTGCTGGGATTACAGGCAGGAGCCACTGCACCCATCCATTTCCCATTTGCCCCAATAATATTTGCTGGCAGTGCGTGCAGCTGCAGCGTTTACCCAGAGATAACTCGCAGTTTTTTTTTTTCCAGATCATTTGGCATCTGTTTTCTGTTCCAACAAGTTGTCACAATTCCATCAGTGCTGTTTTGATGTAATTCTCTGAAAAGCATTTAGGAGTAAGGTTAGGACTGTAATCCGAGTCATCTTGAGGTCAGCGCAGCAACTGCATGCACCTCCAGGGATATTCTCAGGGCAAATGGGAAACGGGTTAAGAACAACAGAGCTCAGCTAGCAGTAAGTAGAGTAAAACAGCTGAGTGTGGAAAAGACAAGTCAAAGAGAGCCCTGCCAAACCCACTGTCACCTCAGAGTCACTCTGGGTACACCCAATGCTGTACCCCCAACATGGGCAACAGCAAAGGCTTCACATGGTCAGGGGGTGGAGGAGGGAGTTAGACTCCACTAAAATAATCCACTCAGCCACAAAACAAACAAGTAAGAAGATCAAGCTGGGAGGGGAGGGTAGAGATACTCAGAGTTGCTACAAGACATTATCAAAAAGCCCAGATGCCAATAAAAAATTATGAGACATGCAAGAAACAAGAAAGTATAACCCATACACTGGGGAAAAAAGCAGGCAACAAAAACTGCCTGTGAGAGTGAAGAAGATGTCAGATTTATAAAAGTTGTTCAGAGAACCTAAGGAAGCTATGACTAAAGTGGTAAAGGAAGGTATGATGACAGTGTCACACCGAAGAAAGAATACTGATAAAGAGATAGATGTTATTTTTTAAAAAACCAAAAGGAAATTCTGGACTACAAAAGTATAATAACTGCAATGAAAAACTCTGCCCATCAATGGAGGACTAGATAAAGAAAATGTGGTGTTTATATAAAGCATGGAATGCTACCAGTCACAAAAAAGAATGAAATCATGTCTTTCACAGCAACACAGATGGAACTGGAGGCTATCATCCTAAGTAAAATAACTCAGAAACAGAAAGTCAAATACTGCATGCTCTCACTTATAAGTGGGGACTAAACGATGGCTACATACAGGCATACAAAGTAGAATAAAGGACACTAGAGACCCCAAAAGGTGGGAGAACAGGAGGTGAGTAAGGGTTGAAGAATCACCTACTGGGTACAACGCTCACTATTTAGGAGATAAATACGTGAAAAGCCCAGCCTTCATCACCGTGCAATATATGCAATTAAGAAACCTACACTTCTATGCCCTAAATATATGTAAAAAAATTTAATTAAAAAAAAAATCACTAGAGGTACACTACAGTACATCTGAACTGGCAAAAGAAAGAAAGAAAGATCAATACAAATTGCACAATCAAAGAACAGAGAGAAAAACATGAAGAAAATTAAAGAGAGCCTTAGAGAAATGAGACACCATTAGGTACATGAAGTATAAGCATTACTCAAGTGCCTGAAGGAGAGCGAGAAAGGATCAGAACATACAATTGAAGAAATAATGACTAAAAATTTCTCCGGTTTATGGAAAAACAGTAATCTACACATCCAGGAAGAACCATCAATTCTGAGTAGATTAAACACAAGGAGATCCACAAACAGACACGTCATAGTAAAAATGCTGAAAGCCGGACTCAGTTTGGAAGTTACCTTTTTTTCAAGAAGCCTTTCCAAACTTCCCAGACGGATAGTGGTTCTCATGTTTTAGATAGCAACAGAATCCCTTGCAGGGTTTGTTTAAATACAAGATTGCTCAGTTCCACCCCTAGAGGTTCTGATTCAATAGGTCTGGGGTGGGAATCTGCATGTCTAGTAAGTTCCCAAGTGACTGAACTCAGAATGACTGACTCCATGCCACCTCTCCCACTACCCTCACCACACTATATTCTACTTTCCTGTTTAGATGTCTACCCTGTGAGCTCCTTGAAGACAAGGGACACTAAACCTTACTGCTCACTGCAGATCCAGCAGGAAGGTATGCAGAACCTGCCATAAATCTGCTCCTCCCTTCCCAATTACTCCAATTTCATCAACAGTTCTACTATCTTCTCAGTCACTGAAACTTACTCTAGGAGGCACCCCAGCTTCTGCCTTCCTCCCTCAGCTCCAGTTATTAAGTCTTGCTGACTGCTATCAGGCCAGCTCCCTCCTGCTGGTCTCTCCTGTTCATTCATACCATCACCAACATAGCCTCTTAACTGGGCTCCCAGTATTCACTTTCTCCTTATTTAAAAAAAAAAAAAAAAAAATGCTTTCAATCCTCTTTAAAACAACACTTTGTGTATATCACCTCTTAATGTAACTTTCAATAAATGCCCATGGCCAACTCTGTTTCAAGCCCTATATTCTAGTTCCCATTTACACATCCGAATATTTATGTGCCTATATTTTTGTGAACTCTCTGGGGTCAACTGCCTTGTTTCATTTATCTTTGCCTCAGCAGTGCTGAACTGTTACGGAATACACACTCCAGTGTTTACTGAGCCACGTTAAATTTACAAACCAAACAGATTTACTTGTTTTGCCTACATTGCTGCTCATGTTCTATTCTCTTGTTCACTCATTTAAATGCCTAATACAAAGTCTGTGTACTATATATCTTGTTGATGATCCCAGAAGTTCAAGACCAGCCTGGGCAACATGATGAAACACCATCCCTACTGAAAATATAAAAAACTAGCCGGACATGGTGGCGTGCGCCTGTAGTCTCCGCTACTAGGGAGGCTGAAGTGGGAGGATCACATGAGCTGCCCAGGAAGTCAAGGTTACAGTGAACCGAGATCACGCCACTGCACTCCAGCCTGGGTAAGAGGAGTAGGACCCAGTCTCAAAAACAAATAATTTAAAATATTTTATTATTAAAAAAAGAAAGAAAGTACAGTTTTACTGCTACTGGTACAGCCAGCACCCACCTAACTAAAAAAGGTTAGCAAGGAGCTCCTAAGGTTGATGCCTAGGGCTTTACCTTCATCTGTGCCAGCTGCTGTTGCTGCTGCTGCTGCTGCAACCTCCGAAGAGCCTCTTGCTGCTGCTGCCTCTGGCGCATTAACTCCTTCTGCCGCTGAACCTCCAGCTCCTTCCTCTTCCGTTCCTCCTCCTCATGCCGGAGTCTGGCTGCCTCCTCTTCCATGCGCAGCCGGTTCTCCTCTAATCGACGCTGGGCTTCTTCTTCTTCCCGGGCCCATTTTGCAGCCTCCTCTTCCTTTCCAGAAGGAAAAATTAAAGAGAGAAAAATTTTATTAATTGTGGGAGGAAAAATCGGACTCACTTTTGAAGGCTTCTGTCAAATGGCTATAGAAATGGCAGAGAAAGCAGAAACTGTTTATGATGATGCAACGTAAAAGTAACTTTTCTTTTAAAATAACTTACAGTAGCCACAAAGGCCTGGCATGCTTACAGGATGAATTTTTTATTAAAGGACTGCCACTTTAAACATGTGTGGTGAAAGCCCTAATCTCAAAGCAGCTCACCATCAACTGCAGGCAAGTCTCCTGGAAACACTGCTCCAACATTTGAGGTGAGCAAGCCTTTCAGGGTGCTGAGTGCTAAGAGCTACCAACGTCCTATAAGGATTCTGACTGCCATGACAGCATCAGCCAGTTCTGGAACCAAAGCAACTTTCCAAGATCGCTGAATTCCATCCCTGGCTCTTGCCCCTTGTGGGCCATGGGCCCGTCAGAACATCTCTCCTCAATCAATCCTCCACCATCTACTACCTTTGCCCTCACCTGGGCTCATTTTCCTTCTGCTTCCTTCCCTCAAAAGCATTCCATTGTGCCCTCCAAAACTCATTTCACTGTTAAGAAATTCCCTTCACCTTTGCAGTCGGCCTGCTGTACCTGTAATGCTTTGTCTTATCCATATCACATTTCTCTACTTCATACTCTAAAACGTCGGTCTTCGGTCAGACAGAAGTCAGCCACTCAGAGACTCACCTAGCCTTTAGGAGGCAGACTTTACCTTTGCCTTTTGATTAAGGTCAACTATACCCTGTCTTTATCTATTTGCTTCTAGTACACCTGCGGCAGCTACTTTCCACGTCTTTGTCAGGCTTCTTCCTTGCAGACAAAGCCTCCTGCCACGTCAGAGGTTTAAAATGTCAGATTTTGCTTTTAAGCTTCCAATGTAACTAGGGGGTAGCCAAAGAGATGACTACTGGGAGACCTCTAAGGAAGAAATTCTTCCCAGATAAAAGGAAGAAAGCATGAGAGAAAGGCCATTCCCTATTTGGATATAGGTTGCACACAGTGTGATATCCAAAACTCTTTAACCATGACGTAAAATATCTGAACTCAAAAGTCAACACACCAGGAAATGGTAGAGAAGGAGTATGCAAAGGCCGTAAATCCTTAATGCCATTCACTGAAGCAAGTGTATAACAGGCTAATAGGCAGACCTCTTAAAGTGTAAGGCAACAATGTCATTTATTATTTAAGCCATCTTAGGTGGGTATTTTGATTTTGGGGCCAAAAGTATCCTAATGATGACGCTTACTTCTTGTATATTTATCACATACATAGACTGTGCTTCTTGAGGACAGAAACTATTTCCTAATTGTCTTATACTCCACCAGAAAACAAGCACAATAACTGGCATATAGTACATTACTAAACATGTTAACTGTTAAATGAATAAACCAAGAATCAACACACAATCTAACATGTTAACTGTTAAATGAATAAACCAAAGAATGAATCAACACGCAATCTAACTTGGAAGCTATCTGTCTCTAATAGAATTCAGGTTTCCAAAAAAAAATTTCAATTTAGAATGCAGGCAAAAGCAAGCAAAACTCTACATTCTGAAGTGTGGATTGCACAGAGTGACTTCCAAAGAGTCAGTATCGTACTGACTTGCAGTACTACTTACAGTAGTAAGGGGGAAAGTGACTAACAGTGGAGAAACCTGACAAACACTACTTCAGCCAAGTGATCGAGGTCTACATCAGCAGTCCCGAACCACGCTGGCAATATGTACCTGTTGATTTGATGCGGTGAGAATGCCACTTTGCCTCTGTGATCTTCCTCCCAAATACCCATAATCCAGTCTATTCATGAGAAAAACTTCAGATAAATTCCAATCAACGGGTACCCTATAATATTATTTCTTAAAACTGTCAGTATTTCTTAAAACTGACGAAGTCATCAAAAACAAGGAAAGACTTAAGAAACTGTCGTAGCCAAGAAGGGCCTAAAGAGACATGACAGCTAAATGCAATATGATATTCTCTTTTTTTACAAGTTATTATCATTATTGTTTTTTTGTAGAGACAGGGTTTCGCTATGTTACTCAGAATATTCTCGAACTCCTGGCCTCAAGTGATCCTCCTGCCTCAGCCTCCTGAGTTGTGGGGATTACAAATGAGAGCCACTGTGCCCAGCTAATATGATATTCTGAATGGAATCCTGGAACAGAAAAAGGACATTAGGGAAAATCTTTAAAAATCTCAATAAACAATGGATGTTTAATAATAATGGATCAGTGCTGATTTATTAGTTGTTAACAAATGTATCACACTCATGTAAGATATTAATAGCAGGGGAAACTGTAAGCAAGGGGAAATATGAAGGCTCTGTGTATTATATTCCCAGTTTCTCTGAAAGTCTGACCCTCTTCTAAAAATAAAATCTACCAATAAAAAAAAACTATGTTCTTTAACACTAAAATAAAATGATTTGGGGGTTCTAGTTTCTTGTAATGACAGAGTACCATGGTTGGACCACCTGTCCCACATATAATTATAAAAGCTGAACAAAATATGAAAGAACTAAAAACGAAAAAAAGAACAGGTATACTGAGCCAGGCCCAGTGGCTTCTGCCTGTAATCCCACCTACTAAGGAAGCTGAGGCAAGGGGATCACATGAGGCTAGGAATTTGAGACCAGACTGGGCAATACGGTGAGATCCCTGTCTCCAAAAAAATAAAGTAGAAATTAGCTATGCATGGGGCATGTGCCTGTAGTCCCAGCTACTTGAGAGGCTGAGACAGGAGGATCACTTGAGCCCAGGAGTTCAAGGCTGTAGTGAGTTATGATCATACCACTGTACTCCAGCCTGGCCGACAGAGTAAGATGCTGTCAATAAAAACAAACAAACAAACAAACACTAGAGAGAAATCAAAGAGTCTACCTTCCCTCCCCGCCAACCGTCTATTAATCAAAAAAGCATACCTTTAGAAAAATACATGTGGCTAGGCATAGTGGCTCATGCCTGTAATCCCAGCACTTTGGGAGGCTGAGGCGGGCGAATTACAAAGTCAAGAGATAGAGACCATCCTGGCCAACATGGTGAAACCCCATCTCTACTAAAAATGCAAAAAATTAGCTGGGCATGTTGGCATGTGCCTGTAATCCCAGCTGCTTGGGAGGCTGAGGCAGAAGAATCACTTGAACCCGGGAGGCGGAGGTTGCAGTGAGCCGAGATCGAGCCACTGCACTTTGGCCTGGCAACAAAGTGAGACTTCATCCCAAAACAAACAAACAAACAAACAAACAAACAAAAAGTAGGATTTTTACTTATATTTCACCTAAGGGCACTCCCCCATTCACCAGCAAAGAGCTCAAAGCGTTACTAGCAATTCTGATGTCAAAAGAAAGAGTTCTGGGATAGAAAAACAATTAGGGGGAAAATTTGGAGGGGGGATCATCAAAAGGAAGGAAACCAGAAAAGAGATGAGCCCCAAATCTCCTGAAATCCTTGGCTGGTGTAGACCTCAGGATAAACCAAAAGGGGCAGCTGGAAGAACTCAGTAGAGATTAGAGATTTCTGCTACTCTACCATGAGTGGGGCACAATGTTGAAGATTGAATTAACCAAGGTAAATGTCAGCCAGAACTAAACTCTCTAAGGTACAAACCAGAATGTATAATCTCATAACCTACCATTCAGAATGTTCATTATACAATTTTTTTTAATTATAGAAATAATCAGATATACACAAAAATGGAGTATGGGAAAAATATATACCATGAAAACACTAAAGACAACTAGAATGATGTTAAGGCAACCTTAACATCAATTTAATAGACTTTAAGACAAGAAATACAATCAGAGATAAACAGGAACATTTTATAACAATAAAAGCTTCACCAAGAAGACAGAACTATATAACTGTATGTGCAAATAATAACAGAGCCTCAAAACACAAGAGCAAATACTAACATCTAAAGGGAGAAATGCACAAATCAAAAACTGTAGTTTCAGATTTTAGCATCTGGTTTGTTAAGATGCAAATGCATGGCTAATTAAAAAAAAAATTAGCATCTCTCTCAGGAATCAATATAACAACTAGGTAAAAATTAAGTAATGATATAAAATACTGATGCTATCAACCACCCTGACCTAACTGTCATTCATGAAACACTACACTCAATAATTGAGAAATATATATTCTTTTCAAATGTAGGCGGCCAGGTGTGGTAGCTCCTGCCAATAATTCTAGCACTTTGGGAGGCCAAGGCAGGAGGATTGTTTGAGGCCAGGAATTCAAGACCAGCCCGGGCAATATAGCAAGACCCCATTTCTATACACTCTACATATTTTGAATTTTTTTTCCTTTTATAAAAAAAGTCAAATTTAGCAGTGGGGGTTTGTATACTAACTTCAGTGACACTAATAATGTTAATAAGTTCTGATAACCCACTACCATTGGACCAGCAAAGACCCTGACTCTATAAATTTTTTTTTTTTTAAATTAGTGATGCATAGTGGTATATGCTTGTAGTTGCAGCTACTCTAGAGATAGCTTCAACCAAGAAGTTCTAGGCTGCAGTGAGCTATGATCACACCACTGCACTTCACTGTGGGCAACAGAACGTGACCTGGGCAAAAAAAAAAAAAAAAAAAACTCACAAGTGCACGTAAAATAACTCAC